TCAAATTAGTACAAAGAATTCCCAGACACACCAATTTACTCTGTATGCTTTAGTACATTCTCATATATTCTTCTCCCTCTCTCCCTCCCTCCCTCCCTCCCTCATACCACCCTCAAGCTCAGGGATTTCAGCGTTTCTCCTCTCATGAAACACATAAATGAATTACTAAACTTCTGCAGCACACCAAAAATATTATTATATTTTTTGCCACTCTGACAAAAGAAATAGGTACAATTTTGATTAATTCATACTGAATGGCTATTGTTGTGTTGGCTGTTGTCTTTTATTTATTTGTTTGTTTATTTTTCACCCTCAAGCTCAGGGATTTCAGCGTTTCTCCTCTCATGAAACACATAAATGAATTACTAAACTTCTGCAGCACACCAAAAATATTATTATATTTTTTGCCACTCTGACAAAAGAAATAGGTACAATTTTGATTAATTCATACTGAATGGCTATTGTTGTGTTGGCTGTTGTCTTTTATTTATTTGTTTGTTTGTTTATTTTTATAATGTAAGGCAGTGGTTCTCAACCTGTGGGTCGCGACCCCTTCAGCGGTCACACGACCCTTTCACAGGGGTCGCCTATCCTGCATATCAGATATTTGCATTACGATTCATAACAGTAGCCACATTACGGTTATGAAGTAGCAACGAAAATAATTTTATGGTTGGGTCACAACATGAGGAACTGTATTTAAAGGGCCAGAAGGTTGAGAACCACTGATCTAAGAGGAAAAGAGGTTAGTGCCCCTGACTAAATAGTCAAGTATTGCATATTTTAAAAATTCTTGCAACACACTGGTTGAAAATCTCTGCTCTAGATCTTTCTTTCTCTTAGATTTATCCTTTGGTAGTATTGGGGAAAAAGGAAGAAAAAGAGAAATGGCATTTCCTTACCATTCTGCTGGGGCTGTCTCCTTTCCGTTTATCTCTGTGATGTAGTCTGGGAAGGTGGAGAACCAAACAGGCACTGATGCTGAGACTCAAACAACTCCTCCAACCTGTGGTTGGTGCCCTGAGAGACTCAGCTGTCTCTTACACAAAAACCCCAGTGGTAGCACACTGTAGTCTGATGGGATCACCACTTTATCCAAGCTGCAGCAATCCCTCACAGCCCAGAGTCCTCCTCTCTCATCTGTCCTCAGCAGCTTCAGGTGTGAGGCTTGCAAGCATGAGCAGCATCCCTTTTTCCTACTACTCAGGTGGAACTTATCAGACAGTCCTTGCATCCTCTCTCCCTGGCTGACTGCATCTTCTCTCCTCTCGGGTTCTTTTTCAACCTCAGTAGTGCTAGAGTCTTTTTCACTGCTAGGGTTCAGGAATCTGGAGAAGGGGCTGTGACATAAATGAATAGAGACTAGACATGAAATATAAATTTGGGAGGCATGGGGGAGCCAGGGGAGGCTCCACTTTCTAGTGAAATGGGCTCTCTGAATGTCTGGACCCATAGCTTTTTATTACCACATTTTGCCCTTTAGCAAAGCAGATCTACACTAATAAAAGACAAAGATGCTAATTGACCATCCCTTCGCTATGCCCTAAGCCACACCCACCAGCCAATCAGAGCGACTATATGCAAATTAACCCACCAAGATGGCAGCTGGCAGTCACGGAGCTGGAACAAGCAGGAGTCTTGGTTGCCCGGGTGA